ATTTGTGATTGAGAAAACCCATTCTGGCAGCCAGTGTGAAGGATGGTGTGGGGTCAGGGATGGATTAGGAAAAGGTGAAAGCCGAAAGTTCCACCTGGAGGCTGTTGCAGGGATCCAGATATGGGCAATGGATTCACCAGGGTATAAGCAGTGAAGGAAAGAAGAGAGCTGAGGGGGTGACTGACTGGAATGGGAGGAGGGGAGGAGAGGATTTGCTTAGAGAACTGGCTAGTTGGAGGTGTGAGTCCTTGAGATAAGGAATAAGGAAAAGACTAGATTTAGGTGGTGGATCAGGGCGTGCGTGGGAGAGAACATTTCAACACTGATAGGTTATTTCTTTCTTCAAAAGAGAAAAGATGTCAGTTAACAGTAATGCTAGTATCCTTAACTGATCTCTCTCATCTCAAAATCATTCTGAAGCCTATCTCTCTAAAATTAAAATAAGAATCATCCAGATTCTTATATGTTACTTTCCTTTATTAGAACACAGTAGTTTCCAACTGGTCACTGCAGGGAGTTCATTCATTTATTAATTACTTCATTAAAGAATATTTATAATGTACCAATGACTTGCAAGTTACTGCGACTGGGGACAGACATAATTGTCCTTCCCCTCATAGAGCTTACATCCTAGTAGGAGCCAAAAATGACACTACCACCCCATTATAAACCATTTAGTTACACAATGTCATAAAGGTTCTGAAGTATAGGGTAGTATGAGGCAAAGAACAAGGGGGTGGGGTGGGGCACTGAGGCTCATAAATAAGTTTTAGTAGATCTCTCCCTGAAATCTGTATGTAAAACTTTGCCTATGTCTGTATATATTTGGTGTGGGGGGAGGGGGAGCTAAGAGCAGCCAAACTTCCATGCTCAAAGGAGTCTGTCACCCCTAAAAGATTAATAACCACTCTGATACTGGAAGAGAGGGTCTGGGGAGACCCAATGGCAGGCCTCAGCCCACTCTGTCCTCTTATCGATTTCTTGACTCTGCCACAGGAAAGAATTCAAGAGTAGACTCACTGTAGAGAGAACAGGTTTAACATAACAAATAAGAGATACAGATTTCACAGAGGGACTGCGGACTAGCTCCATAGACTGAGCAGGGCCCACATCAAATTTAACACAAAAGTAAGAAATACAAACTTAAGGTTTAGTACAGAGTTCAGGATGGCTCAAGAGAGTGAGCAGCTACCTGCTAAAAGCTTAACACAAAAATAAAGCGTACACATCTCAGCTGGCAAAGTGTGGGTTGGTCCCAGGAAAATGAGCGACAGTCCCATCTCCTTCAGGATTCCAATTTCATTGTTTTGCTAATACATATTTATGCTATCTAATAAATATTCAACTAAGGGGGCGGTTCCCAGTTATGTAACATAGTCTTACACATGCTTAGTTGATCTCCTGTTAGAGCATGTTTATTGGCCGAATCCTATCATGTGCACCAAGCACATTCAAGAATACTCTGTGCTCTTTAGCACCCCTAGAGGAAGGTCATTCAGAGGATAAACTCCACTTTACAGAGCATGCCCAACCACTGGATTGGTGTAAGTCAGCCCCCTGAGGTCTCAATTTCCCCTTGCTGGTACCAAAAATACATGCAAGAAGCAACAGTAACTCTCCTCTAGGGGAGGGCCTGGAGGAGGGGCCTGGGACCTTGGGGAGTGGCTGAAACCCCAATTCATGGAAACTGAGCACCTCCTTTCTCAACTCTACCTTTCAAGTCCATTTGGGCACTTTTGATATACAAACTTCTCCCTGTGGGAAGGCAGCAACCAAGGGGAAAGCAAATAGCTTGGTGGCCTGTCTAGTCCACTGACAATGACCCTACCTTTAGTTTTACAGACTTCAAGTGATGAATCTTTTGACAAAGAAAAGACCGCACAATTGTGTGTTAATTTTTAAAAACACAGTTATTTAAAAAGATCGGGAGGGAGATGTTCTATTCCTCTGTCTCTGAGGATCTCCGAGCATCTGCCCCAAGGTCCAGGCTCAGAGCGCTGGAATAGGACACACCTTCCGCCCCAGCGGGATAAACTGCCCCGCGCTCCGCCTTTTAGATTCCTCCGAGAGAACTCAGCGAAAGCCTGGAGTCCAGGCCGGATCTTCAAGCATCAAGGCGGAAGTAACGGCGAGCCGGAAGTCACAGGGCCCGCAGTGGGACGGAGGTGGGGGGAGCACGAGGAAGGCTCAGGGAGGATGGCGGCTCAAATTCCAATTGTGGCCACCACTCTCACTCCCGGGGCAGCCCGCAACAGCAAGAAGAGGCCGTCCAGCCCTTCTCATAACGGCGGCAGTGCCGGGGGCTACGGCGCCAGTAAGAAGAAGAAAGCGTCCGCCTCCAGCTTCGCGCAGGTACGCGGTCGCTCTCCTAGCCTGCGCGTGCGCGGGGCGGGGTGACGAGAGCGCGTGCGCGGGCGCGTG